GACAAATTGAGCTGCTTAGCCAAAAATTATTACTTGACACGAATTCCATAATTAAAATCAAGTAATCCTTTATCACATCTTGCTGTGCAACAAAAAAACCTGTTCTCAAAGACAGTCTTTGAAATTAAGTAAGAGCATGAAAAATAGAAGACGAAGCACTAAGAAAGCAAATCTTTAAAGAGTTTCTAGTGAGAGCAAAACCACCATCCACAAGTTGTAGCACAGCAAACGCCGCATTTCAAACAAAGAACAAAAAAAATGGTTGCAAATGCAGATTATGCAATATTTAAGAAGTAAAACTACCTGAGGAGTTACCAGAGACAACATACATATGCAGCACTTTAGAAACAACTAGTTCTGTAGTGGTGGTTATGTGGTCAAGGCGTTTCCTTGGTGTGTGTACATACAGCAGGCAGCTCCCTCTGAGATGTGAGGACACCCTCCCTCCTACCACAAGAATGGAGGGTGAGTGGCTGGTGAGGTCACCAAAACACTGAGATACATTGTGCATATCTCCATTTTTCTAGAATATGTCATTTTTTTTTTTTAACTTGAATTAGTGCCTTGAGTTACTGGCTAACAGACTGTACAATCGTGTCCCTTAGAAACTGGATCTGACTCTCGGTTTTCTCCTCGGTTACTAAACCCCAGTTGCAGAGACACCCCCACTACCCAAATGCTGAAGGGAACTTGTGTACTCACAATACAGAAAGATTAATGCACGTGTAAAATTCTGTAGGATCAGCACCTTGATATGTGGTCGGAGGATTGGGCTATTTATTTTTGTCAAGTTTATTGAGTGCCTAGGAAAAATCCCATTATAAATAAAGCAGCATGCTCTTAATAAAACTTCACATGCATGGTAAGTTTTCAATTTATACTGGGGCTTATATACATAATAAATTTTTTTATTTTAACTCCATGTTTTAATTTTATTTCATGAGTTCATATATTTACTTCCCTTGTATTTATGCTCAAACTAAAAAAGCTCCTCCATTTATTTCTTCCATTTCCTAAACACTAAAAGAACTACATGTTTAAAAAACTTGTTTTTATGCTTTGAAATCTCATACTGGAAGAACCCATTTACACTGAAAAACACCAACTTCAGGCTCCATTAATTGCGCTACTGCAAAAATTTAAAACGGTCACAGAAGCAATAAGCAAATATCCCATGAAACACTCCCAGACAAGCACCATTTTCCAATCTATCGAGCTCCCAGTTCAAAAAGCTCAAGTGCCATTATCAGGCTATGCTCAAGCAATATTTGCAGGTTTTAGTCAATAGAACTTTTGTATTTAGGAGCATTTGAAGACCTGACCCATAGCTGCTTAAAATTCAGGTTAGCAAGTTTAACTTTCAACTGTTTCAGTTCCTTTGGTTCTGAGGTAGAAAAATAAATAAATAGATCAAAAGCTTATTTTAGTTACCAGAAGTCTCTAACTTGTAATTGTTACTTATTTTAAAAATTGAATCACATTTGAAGACAACAACGTTAATAATTCAGCATTAACCTCATCCTGTAAACATCTGGTTACACTGTAAATTTGAAGAAATTACTGTCTTCAACAGAAAAAAGTACTCCAGCTAAGAGTTCCTGCTCTTATACTTTTTCTAATATTAATAGTTTTTGAAATTCAGTGCATATCCTCCTGATAATTTTGAGTTTCTCTCTTTTTTTATAGAAAAATACCAAGATATTTATCCGCTGATTTCCAGCTCTCACTAGCCCAGCTAAAAAACCATCACAAGATAAAAAAAGAGTTTCTAGCAAATCCTTAATTTGATTTGAAGCACTTAGTTTTGATGTAAGTACTTCCATAATTTCATCTTGATTTAGATTTGCAATGCCTGCTGTAGTGTGGCACTTATTAATTAAACTGATTAAGGGTCTTCAGCTGTACCGTGGGCCCTCCACTCTTCCACCCACTTTGCTCCTAACTGTCATTAACCTCTAGGAAAAGCCCTCTTTGTTGGTCATTATTGTTTAATTATGCTTTACAGTTATGTCATCACATCTGTGAAATACAACCTCCCATAACAACACAGCTGTGGAATATGATACTCCTGCCCAGCAGTAAAATCCTGGTTACAGCAGATTAAATGTACACACGATGCTGATGGAGGAAGTGATACGAAGCTTTTTGAAGGCCCTTGATTTTGAACAGGTCTGGTGAGACAGGAGGTACACAGAGTCTTCAAGAGAGGTCTCAAACTCTTCCTCTTTCCTCCCTTCCCCACCCCTCCTGACAACATCTTCTGCACGTTTCAGGAATAGCTACTTCTAAACTTAGAAAACTTCACAAAGAGAAGTTTTATACAGAAATAGTGAAGCGAGAAGAAACCTCAGAAACAGAATTTATGAGCTCAGAATCTATTTTTTAACAAATACTACGAATTACAGCTGAAAGGCACTTTTTCCTGGAACCCTCTGCTTCCATTCATGATCTCATGATGCACAAGCATTTCCTTTGCATGTAATATAACGGCAGCAGTGACTGCAGTGGTCCAAAAGAAACAGGACTTTGCACATTTCTGCCGTCCTTTGCAGGTGGGAGGAAGAAAGGGGGGCAACTATCCAAACCACTAGTTCTTAAAATATTACAGCAAGAGCTCCCCACATCACAAGGACCTCCCTCTAAATTAATGGAATGACCATTAATTCCTGAAATTGAACATAAACTGTACATTCTGCTGGCACACAGAGAAGGGGGGGCTGTATGAAACAGGGCAGGAGTGTTACCATAACATACAGGACAATTCACAATTTCTTCTGCAAAGGCTGTGTACTACAACCTGTCCTCACTTTTTCCTCCTTTTGATAACATGAGCTGGCAGTAAGCACACAGGGTTCTTTACAGAAAAGAAATGGCACCAGCCAGGACTTTATGTTTACTGGGGAGGGGAGATTTGTGTGCATCTCTGTGTGTGTGTAGCAGGGTGACTGGGAGGGAATTGTCTGATTTTTCAAGAGTGGAGATAATGAGATAATAGTAGACAGTTTAAAGCCTCAATCAAGACTGTATATACCAAGCTTCAACAGGATTTTCTTTTTCCTGGTCTGGGTTACAAACCCTTGACTGGCAAGTAAGGAGTTGTTTACCTGTTAGAAGCAAGGGGGCAAATTCCTTTAGATTGATGCAAAACATTTTCCTACTCTGGAAGTCAGAAAGGGAGGAGCATCAAGTTTATTTATGTAGCTCAAACAGCGGTCAAGCTAAGAGGATGTCTTATTGTGCAGAGTTCATAACTGAACATTAAACTCCTCCCTTTAAAGCAATGAAGAAGGAAAACTACCATTCCCACTCCAGAAGTCACGAGCAAAGGGGAGAGAAATATGCAACCAAGTTGCTGCTTGAGAGAGTTTTCTATCACAATGCTTATGATTAACCAAGTGAAGAAACAGAATGGCAGGGAGGAGAGAGCTTGCACAGATAAACCCAGAGCCAGAGGGAATGACAACAGAAATGCCCTGGGCTTCGGGTGGTCTTGTTTTACACAGCCAGATTAATTAAAGAGACACTAAAGGACATCTCTTTTAGAAAATGAAACACGTTACAAACCAAAACGCCTCAGAGAGCGAGCAGCTAGGGAGTTATAACTAAATTACTAAGTACAAAATGAAGCAGCCTGCAGAGGAAATGAGTAATTAAAAAACCCTCCCTTGAGCTACAGGCTGGTGAGCGAGGGGTAACTCCAGGACCCTGGTGCTGGAGGTAAACAGTTGCAAAGCCAAAACGTGACAGGCGAAAACAGATGTTTTATACAAACAACAAACCCCCAATCTCCTGACTTTACAGCGCATTTTCACTCAGAGATGGCATCAGATACAGTCTGCCTGGTGCAACCTGAAGAGATGCAGGCAGGAATTACATCACCCACCAGTACCACGCTGCTGCCCCAGGGTGAAGCACTGCAGTCGCTGGACAGTGCTCAGCAAACATAAACAATGTTTTCAGAGGAAGAAATACATTAATGTCAACCTCGTTCCTCTTTCTGAAAGAGAGTTTAACAGAGCACAGACAACCACCTCCCTGCTAGCACAGAAACCCTTCTGTAGCCCTCTCCCCTTCCTCAAGGACGGAAATACACCTCGGGCACCTGCTGTCCACGTGTCCTGGGGAGCAGCATCACCCCCGGCCTGGCCTGACTCCTTCATTTTTCTGTTGCCTCAGAGAAACACCAGGAAGAACACCCAACTTGCCAACCCTTAAATAAGCACTCTGGCAAAGTGGTTTCCAACTTTTTCCACTAGATCTTTTCCAGGGAAGACAAGCTCTGGGCGTAGCATGTTCTAGCTGACTGACAAGAGCCCTTCTTCACTGATTCGTCTTTTTGAAACCCCTTAAGGTCCACCAGTTGAACATGAGTCTGTTGGCAGGCGGGCATGGAAGATGATGACCCTAGGTGACAGCCTGCAGCGAGGGGCTCACACTTTTTGCCCAGACACGGCTCCCTCAGAGGGAGCAGCCCCAGTCCCAATGAACATCATCCCCTTTCTCAGGCATAGATGGCAGCGAAGATAAGGACATCCCCTGCTAAAGTTGAGGTGGATCCCCTGGCTGTCTCCAGGCAGACATCCCTCACCGCCACCTCAGGCCCTCCATCAGCTGAGTGTCCCTCACCCACTATGACCAACCTCAAGCGAGGGGACCCTCACCACCCCCTTATCACCTGTGGCCCCTCACCATCACCTGAAGCCCTCCAACTTCTTCAGAGGCAGACCCGCAGGCCCTTGGTGGGCAAGGGGGATCCTTTACTGTCTCCTTTATCAGCGGGGGCCCCTCACCGTCACCTTAGGCCCTGACAGACCCCCATCCCCTGCGCGGGGGCACCTCATAGCCCCTCGGCGGGGGCGAGGGACCTCTCACACCCTTCCTGGGAGCCCCCTCTCCGCCCAGCCCCGCGTCCCCTCCCCGGGGCGGAGGGTCCCCGTCCGGCCCCCCAGGCCGTCCCTGCCCCCCGGAGCGGGCCCGGCCCCGCCGCCCCCGGCACTCACTGCGGCGGGAGCTGCAGGGCCGGGCCGCCGCGGCGCTGGAAGGCGCCGTCCACGAAGACGCCGTTCTTGCCGAGGCAGCGCAGGTAGAAGTGCGGCTCCTGGAAGCTGAGCTGCAGGTGCCGCCGCGAGATGAAGCTGGAGTGCCCCATGTTGACGTCCACCGACCCTTGCGAGGAGTTGCGGCCTATGGTGACGGCCGGCTGCCGCATGAGGAACTCGAACTCGCGGCCCTGCAGCCGCGCCAGCACCGGCCCGGCGCAGGCGGCGGGCGGCGCGGCCGGGGG